GTTAAGGTGTGAAGGGGTCATAGGAATGGTCACTTAGTATCTTACCTAGATGAGTCTTAAGAATGACTCTAGTTAGGGAAGATGTTGATTATATGGACATGATCCAAACTTAGGAAGTCTTAAGGACTATTTAGTTAGTCTTGAAGAGGTCAATCACAAAAGTTATCTTCTTGATCTATTTAAGTAAGTCTTTTGATAGCCTTTGATGAGGAAATGTCATATTATCTATATGTTGATACTTTGATGTCTTGTAAGTGTGTATGTGACTTATTATAAGTGTTCTTGAGGGTCATTTAGGTATGCTTAAGGAGGTTGTATGGGTGGTCTCTCTTTGTGTTTCTTAACTGGGTCTTAGGATAGCTTTTAGTGAGAAGACTACATGCTAGAAGAAGTTAAAAGTAAAGAGAAAGTACTTCACTGTGATAGTGAAGGACTTCAGTATACAGTGAAGTGAAGCTAATGTAAAGTGCTTCCAAAAATATGTTAAATTGCTTAAATGTTATCTTATGTTTTTCTAAGTTGTTAAATGTTGTTCTTATGATAATAATATAATTTTAAAATGAAAAGATGCATATTTCTACTAAATATCCGTTTCATGATTTTTATGTATCATGCCATGCTTAATACATGTTGTTGTATTAATCCATGCTTTTATTTATTTCTATTGTTGTTGGTAGGTGAGGATCTTTTGGAAAGTGAAGACTTGGACCATAGCATCGTTCAAGAGAAGTTAAAGTATGTTCTCATTTGACTCGAGGACATATATGTCTATTATGTTTTCTATTAGAAGTATTGTAATAGACTAAGTATTTCTATATTAGTATTGTCTATGGGTCTTGTCCCAAGTATTCTTGTGTCTTAAGTTTGATGAGATTGAGACTTAGTATTTCCCATGACTTTATATGAAAGAGATTTTTAAAGACTATGATATGTTTTGTGAAAAGTTTTAATTCCACACTATTTTTTCACTATGTTTATGCGATGAATGATATGTAAGGGCTTGTACGAGACCTCTGAGAGCTCAAGTACGCTGATTGCAATCCGAGATTGCCCCTAACTTCTAGGGTGTGGTTTCAGGATGTGACATTCACATTAATCACATGTAGATAGATATGCTCATACTTTACATAAGTCAACTACACAAATCATCATAATACTTCAAGTAGTGTCGACAAGGCCATGATCATCATAATATATAAATTAACGCCGACAAGGCTACATCATTCACATAGCACCTCTACCATAAGTGGACCATACCAATCACAATATAATTCAAGAGCTACATTACTTAAAATAACGAGAATTAGGGCAGCGTATCACCAATCCATTCTCAACACTTCGATCCAAATCTAAATCAATTAATTCAATACCATAAGACCCTAACCCATGACCATGAACATCAATTCAATACAAAAACTATAATACTCAATTAATCTAGGTCAATTCAATATAGATTTATCAATCTAAGACAACCTATACATCAATTGACTACAATTCTTACATTATTCAATAGCCCATAGATAACTATACTAGAATTCATAAGCATTAAGGCAATATCACTTAACCCAAAAAGTAGTCAAAAACTAGGGTTCATCAATTACATGAGTTCATAGGTTAATTGAGTTAAAATCATATAATTAACAACAATTCAATCAATATACAATGCTTTAAAACCTTTAATGCAAGAACCCATGAATAGATCATAAAATTGGACAAGTTCATCTTAAGAAACTTTAGAAAACTCTTTGAATGTTGAGCTCCTTGATGAATAGAGTTTCAAGGATAAAAAACTATACCTCAATAATTTTAGATAAATTCAGAGACCAATGAAAAAATTGGGTAAAAAACTAAAGAAAACATAAATCTATATGATGAAATAGAAGAATGATTGAACCAAAAAAGTTTGAAGTTTGGCAAAAACGAAGTAATAATATTTATAAAATAAAATTTATTAAAGATCCAAACAAATTAAGTAAACTTTTTAAAATTCTGTACAAAAAAATATAAATGGATAAAAAAAATATTTTATTCTTAAAAACATGAAAAATAATATAACAAGTAAGGAAACTAAAATAACAAAAACCAAGATAGATAAAAAAAAGTACGAAAGATATGGAAAAAGTTAAAACCCTTATACATAGAATATGAACTATCACAACTTACTAAGAGTTTTGGCTCCAATAGAGCTCTAGAGAATTTCTAAGAGAATTTGGGTTTTGACTTTTGACAAATAAATTCTTCCAAGTGTTTAAGACTTATAAACTCATTTAAAATACATAAAATACCCCCAAGTAACCATCCTTTCTCTAATTTAGACGTGGGGTGAAATTATCATTTCACCCCTTGAATTAACAGTAAGTTGCGCAAGAAAACAACTTCACAAATGGTTGCCAAACAACTGTTCGTTTCCTAACCAACGGATTGTCCTATAGGTCCGTGGTTTGGGAATGAGGCTGGTCCTTGGCTTGGACTTCTCCCACGCCTAATTCCTGACCCACGACACCCATCGACAGGGCCTTGACTGGCCAACGAGTCGTCTACTGCCTCCATCGTTTGAGACTGTTTTGGGTAGTCTTGGCTCTTGAGAAGGTTCCTTCCTCAAGGACCCTTGGTTGGTCCTTGGGGACTTTCATCTGAATGTTTCCAACCCAAATATATTCGTATACGAGTTTAGGACTTACACCAATTTCATCCAAAACGAACACGTAAAACTCGATGAAACATGTCAAGACACACAAGGTCGTTTCAAGGCAAACCTTTCGAACATCATGGACGTTTGACCTCCAAACTTCACGAAACCTGATACACAGCCTATAAACATTATTATAACTCATTTAAGGACCTCATTAACTCATGAAAAACACATATAGACACATAACCACACATGAGGCACATAAGCAATTTAGTCGTTGAACGTCTTAGTCGTCCCTTGACGTTTGACTTCCAATGCAACTTAACTCTTGGAAATTGCCTCAATACCATATTATAGACAAATTTAGGATCTTAGAACCTCATGAAGTCATGTTAGACTCTATCTTCACCTAAGTCATTTTCGAGGGATTATAGTTTCCTACAACTGTTCAACCTAAATTTAACAACCAATTCTTGAGGCGTTACAATATCCTCTCAAATCGTGAATCATCTTCCAATTCATCATCACTTGGTTCATGATCTATTATAGGATAAGGTTATGGTACATAGGAAAGAGGAGTTACAATAGATGGATGAGGCATGAGGATCTTCAAAATGAGTGTTATGGTTGGAAGGATATATATAAGGAGTTTCTCATTGGGATTACAGGCCTAAGCCTCATTCAAATATTCCTCACCTACCTCAGTGTCCCTTACATTGGAGACAAACTCCAATTAACGTGGGGCTTGATAAGGTTTTCACCCCATAAGAAACATGCACCTCAACTTCAACACATTTTTTATCATGTTGAAAATGTAAAATATAACCTTATTACAATTCATAAGGACCGTAAATCATTCAACTTAGTGGAAAAGTCACATTATAGTGTATATCCTAACTCCTTTATGTCCCTCGACTCAAAGTATGACATTGTATCGACATCTACTTCTAGAAATTATGTCACCTCTCACAATTCATAAGGACCAATAAACAATCTTTATTTATGAAAAAGTCACATTTTGGTGTATGCCCTAGCTCTTTCATGTAGCCCCTGAACTCAAAGTAAGATATTCTATCAACATCTATTCTAGGAATTCTGTCACCCCCCCCCCCCCAAATGCATTCAAGTAGGGGACCAAATGCAGTTTGGCCTCATGATACCATCTTAAAGTCATCATAACAAAAAATATAGGAAAATTCTTGAAAGAAAAAACATGTAAACAAGAGAAACAAAACTCAACCACACATTCACGCACAAACTCTAGCAAATTAATATATTCTAATCGAACATAGTCCTAACATATGTACAGTACAAACTAATATTACACTATAAATGTACAAATCCGAAGCCTACAAATGTATAATAATACTTTACAACAGAATCACTAAGAGTAGTACTAAGTCGATAACACGAAACCTGACAATAACAACTACTCTACAACACAATAATTAAGTATATAACCATACAAAATCTTAACACAACTAACTATGATAAGTCTATTCTAACACTTTTTACCTAAAATAATCCCTAATTGTGCGTTTCCCAAAAAAAATCACAAATACATAAAGAAAATATTTAATATTTTATTGGTTCAGGTAGTCCTTCAATATTTTTGTTTAATGTTTAGCAGATTTAAATTAAAAAGAAGAGAGAATCTGAAAAAATGAAAAAGAAAGAAAACTTCAGTGTTTTTCTTAAGATTTGGTCGTATTATCCTCACTTTATTAATATTTAAATTTAATTAAAAATGTGTTGACTTCTTTATGAGAAGAATGTCAAATGATCTATTTACAAAGTATATGATACTTTTGTGGGGTAGTAAAATGCTCACAAAGTGAAGGTGTCTTTTTGAAAATTTGAAACAACTTCAGTGACGACTTTATGTCTTTTTCTCTAACTTTAATCCTATTTGAAAACCAAACATGATATACAATTAATACATGAATAACCAAAGTTACTGAGGGTCGTTCGGTAGCTGGTTAGAGTTATGATGATGTTAATAATATAGGTATTAGTTATGAGTAAATCTATGTATTATTTTATGCAGACATTAGTTATTCATGTATTAATTATTCCTCCTTTTGTCTTGCATAAAATAATAAAAGATTCCTCATACAATGTATTATTATGTGGGTTTCTAAATTGTCAGTCAAACACCATATTAATTTTCTACATGAATAACTTGGAACTTATCTAGCTACCAAGGATATGTTCATATATTAATTTTGGACTTGTCTCATAACCAAACAACACATTATTACATTATTGATCATTTTCTTATTTTTTTTTTATTTTCTTATTTATTTATTTGGCTATTTTGGGGTTGTACTCAAAAAGAAACATCATATAATTAAATGAATACCGCAAAAAATTAGAGAATTTATTTTTATTGATTGAAGGAGGAAAGAAAAGACGGGACATCCCAGAAATCGGGTTTTCCTTGCCCAGGGCTGCCTTAAATGCGGTAGTGTTCAATAAGAGGAAGTGGCGTCGTCGCTTTGTTACATCGTTGGTGAGAAGCGAAATCGAACGGTTTTCGGGGGCTTTCAATGTAGAACCCCGATCATCCTTTTCCCCATCTGTTTTGTTCTTCTCAGTTAATAGTGTCCAGTGGAATTTCTTCTTGTATATGATGCTTTGTTCTGCATTTACGACTCACATACAAACGTGGCTACGTGATTATGACAGGATTCAATCCTTCGCAGTTATTCTCATCTATGTTCAGGTATTTTCTGACTTGTTCATTTTGGCTAAATAAATAAATTGGTGTTTAATTCTGTTCTATTTTGATTCCACAAGATCGGCTGTGCACTGATTGGATCTCTTGGGGCATTATACAACGGTGTTTCATTAATCAATTTGGGTATTGGGTTATTCGCATTGGTGGCTATTGAGAGTAGCAGTCAGAGTCTTGGTAGAACATACGCTGTACTTCTCTTCTCTGCAATCTTAGTGGACATTTCTTGGTTCATCCTTTTTGCATCCGAAATTTGGTAAGTTTCATTTCATACTCTTTAGTTTTTCAAAATGGTAATTTACAGATCAATGGGATGATGAATCTTCAACTCTATGGAATTATTATAAACCACTTACGGTTATTTCATTTCAATTTCTTTTTAGGTTAAACATAATTTATATTACCATCTGCTTCTGCTTGTTAAATATAAACATTTTTGAACACCAGAGAAGTGAAACCTTAATGAATGCAAGAGATGTTTTAGGGGTCCATAGTTTCTTGAGATTTTTTTTTTTATGAAAAGAACAACATCTAATTTGACTTTTGAAAATCCATTCTTAAATAAGTTTTATTTCAATAAATTATGTAGTACCTCCTAGTTGATATATGCATTTCCTATCTCATCAAAATAATGTCATCTATATTAACTTTATTTTGCTTTTCGAATTAAGTATTTTCTGAAGATGCAATTTGTTAGAGTTGACTATTTGTGTGGATATTTGGTCGTTGAATAAGATATTGGACAAGAATGTTCATTAGACATGGAGTGAGTGGCTTATGGTTGAGTTCAAATTGATATGTAAATTGTTATCTCTAGCTTTAATCCTTTAAACATAATTTTTTCAGGAATTTATTTGGTGTTGAAACCACCATGTTCGAGTAACAAAAAAGACCGTAATTTTGTAAGTTCTTAGTTATAGTTGTAGATTCACTACAAAGCTTCAATTCATGCATATGCCGACATGAAATTTAAAATTCATGAGGATCTACAATTAAAATGTATGATGCTAACTGATATGGAGGAAAGCTGAAGTTTTAAATAGTTCCCACGATTAAATGCATTGGGTTAAGTGGAAGATTGGAGCTATGTAAGAGACAAATAATTGAAACCGAAATTAACAATGGACAGAGATGTAAGGCTCTAAAGAGATGCTCCACCGTTACTTGTTCTTTCATTTATTACACCAGGGTTAAACTTGTGCTTTGGTAACGAAATTAACGATGGACAGTTTTAATTTGGACTGACCTGAATTTTTTATTCTACAAAAAAGAATATGAAACAGAGCTTTGGTTTAGAGACTATTCAATGCAAGCGCCAAAGAACGATTTAACAGACAAGGAACTAATAATGGGTGTCTACTAGTGAAAAGAAATGTAGTGTTATGGAATTCCAATACTTTTCTAGCTCCCTGAGGATTATACTGAAGGATTATAATTGCCTTACGCCGTTCAAGATGGAGCATTACTTTTGTAAATTTCTCTATCAAACGAAGGAACTGTAGCCTATAATGGTTATTAACTATTCAAAAAGGCGATATCTTCTGATCCTAGATGAGAATTTTATAATAAAGAGTGCCTTAGTATTTCTTTTTATGCCAGTAGCTAGAAATTTTATAGATTTGTTAAAAATTAGACACCAGGAAGTTGATTGGAATGTACAAGGTTGGGCTGTCCCCTACGCAAAAGTAACAATGAAGAAGGGGAAACCTCTATACAAAAGATCCTATTCCTGAAGGAATTAATGAAATCTAATCATCATCTGTATTTCGTAAACATCATGAAGTTTACACCAAAAAGCTAGCATTCACAGACACTTATATTTCATTTCATGTGAAGGGTTTGCTTTGCCCTCAAACCACCTAGAATTCTTGTGTCTCCAGAATACCCAAAACACACCTGCCGGATAGTTCTCCAGATATATTTTATCTGTTTGTTTCTTCCTTTAATACCCAACTGTAGTAAATCATTCATTGAGCTTGACATGACCCATTTTAAACCAAAGAAATTAAGGAACAAATCCCCAAGCTGTCTGGCAACTGAGTAGTGAAAGAATGAGTGGATTCCATTCTCTTCGTGTTTCTTGCAGAGGTAACATCAGTTAAATAAAGGCAACACCCAAAGAAAAATCCACTAACTTTAGTCTCTTAGGGCCAAATGGTCGATTAACAAAGTGGTCAAACATAATTTTGTGGGGGCACATAATTCTAGAACTTGGGCTATCTAGAACCTTGGTGCTAAATACTACTCCCAAAAATATACTATCCATAAGCTTATCACGAGTCTTGCTCAAACTCTCTTCCTAAAGCATATTTTGCTTTGAGGCTATGCTCAAATCTTGTTTTCTAAATTCATATACTGAAATCTCTTCTAAAACATATCTTTTCAAATCATGTGCACAACTTAAATCATGAGATAATTTCAAGAAAAATGCATATCTTGTAATATCTCAAAATAGCTTTCTTAATAGCATATACTCTAAATTCATGTTTTGATATATAAGGTTCACGAATGATAAACAATAACATGCCAAGAACTAAGTGCATTTGTCAATATTCCATTATCATGAATAGATAGTTCAAGAAATCATGCAATTCAGGTCATGAATGAATTTGAATGTGGATTTGACAACCCTAACTATGGAATCAAGTTCATAGAAACTTAATAAATTTGGACATGAGAAAGAATTCCTCATTGAAGGCCTACATATAAGTCGGGTCATAAATATGAAGAATTTGAATGTGAGTGTGATAACCCTGATTATGGAATCAAGTTCATAAAAATTTAGGAGCTATGGACATGAGGATGGAACGAATTCCTCATTGAAGTCCATATGCCTTAGTGACGAAGCTTGATGGAGAATCTTGGAAGATGGACCCTAGCCTTGGTATTTCTTGAAGTTGTTGAGAGTAGAGATTTAGGAGAGAATTAGAGGGTTAAATTTAGTGTTATAAAGGTGCGCTTTAAGCGCACTTAAGCCCTGAAGCGAGGCTCAAAGCGTGTTGTGCGCTTCGACTAGCTTTATGTGCGCTTCAATGTTGTCATCAAGGTTCTAAGACAAATATTTTCCTTGCCAATAAGTCTCTTTGGAAGAAGTAACACTAAATAATTGATATTTCACTTAATCATGATTTTTTTCAATTTCTTTGGTCATATATTTGATATTCATATTTATAATTATTAGTCTTAGACTAAACTTTTATATTCTTTTTTCCCTTTGCGCCTTTTTCATTAAAGCCCACACTTTATTTGCTCTTTGTGCTTAAAGCCCCCACAGACCTTAGAGCTTTTTTGTGCTTTTCGCCTTTGGTAACATTGGTTGAATTATGAAAACAAACTGACATTCTACATGTTTAGGGCTATTTAGATAATTCCCCAAAGGTTTTAAGATGAAAACATTCTAATAAAGAAAAACAAAAATAGACGAATTTTGGCCAACTCTGAGTTGGTTCTGTGTCATGGAGCTGGAAGGCAAAATTTTATTGAAGTGGATGGTGAGGTCCGCTTCCTCTCCATGACACGGACTTGGTCACGGAGTTGGGCTCGATCTATTAGGCAGGTTGGGGCATCTCTCCTAAATCATCCATAATCGATTGATGAATGGTGGGCGGCATTGGAAAGAAGACTCACAATCCTCTAATTTGATTGATCAAAGGTCACCTAACTTTTCATAATCTTAGAGATATGGTTGTTTGAAGTTGACTCTTATCTGAATTCAGGTTGTTATTAAGCCGATATAAATGTTTTGAACTGGCTTGGTGTTTGAGATACCCTACAACCTTGAACCACATCTGATACACTAACTACACTTAGTAAAGGACCTTAACATATATGTACAACTTAGAAATCATTGGGATGTGCCTATACACATATGGAGGATGGTTCGAATCTTTGCTTAGAAGTTGAGGGCATTACACAAGCTTTTTTTTTTTTTTAAAAAATCTAGATGGTCTACTATACTTTGTAAAGGAGGTTTCTGGTGAGGCCTCCTCTTTTATGTTTTAAGGACCAATGTGATCTCCAAAGTCATCTCTTTCTTATTTCTTATATAACACTCCATCAAATGCTATTGAAGTAGTATGAGCTCTTGTTTCCTCACGTTATTACTTTTTCTACAAGAATTGCCTTTTCTCAATCCTAAAAATTTGGTTTAGCTCAACTTATTTGTTTACTGTAAGCTGTTCTATTGGTCAATTCATGGATATATTTAGTTTGACTTAATAGCATCACCGCTTGCTGCATCACTGTATAAGATTGCAGGTAGAGCCAGCCTTCACTCATGCATTGTGTTCTCAAACATCCTTGTACAATAAATTTACCACAACTCTTGAAATGTTAAGAAAAAGTAAAATTTTCTTCCTGAACTTCATTTATTCATGCAGGAATATTTCTTCTGGGATTTATGGAACCCTTGTTATCTTCTCGGTGAAACTCACTCTCTCCATGCAAATTATTGGATTTTGTGTGAGATTATCATCTTCACTATTGTGGATTCAAATGTATAAGCTCGGTGTTTCTTATATGGACTGTTCAGTTCCCCGAGAGGCAGATAGTGATATGAGAAACAGTTTTCTCAATCCTGCAACTCCTCTTACTAGACAGCCATCCAATTCTGATGATGCTCTAGGTGGTTCTGTATACGATCCTGCATATTATTCCTCCTTGTTCGAAGATGGTAAAGACGAAACATATTTTTGCAGGGTACGCAGCTCCACTTTAGCACTTCCCTTCCTCTTTTTCTGTAATCCTTTTATATATAATTGAATTTGTCATGTTTTAGTTGCTTTGGATTATTTGAGTAAGTGATGTGGACATTGAATATAGTCTGTTTTAGATGTCTCTGAACACTCCGTTGCATTTCCTTCAACTCATTTGCCAAATTGTTTTTGATAAAGTGTATTGAACATAATGGATGTGGAATCTTATTAAAAGCATGATATAATTGGGATACTGACATTGTGACTTGATGGGAGGAATCATTGACCTAGTTATGCTTGACTAGAGGAAAATAAAGATGAAGTGAAGAAGAAAAATACTTGCTCATATGCATAATGAGTTCATAGCTAAAGATATGTGCTTTGATTTTTATCCTCTTTACTTTTTTATCAAAAAAATATATGGTTTTGTTTTGAGGCTATTTAATAATGCGTATACTAATAATAATCTTCCTTTCCTGAATCATCATTGCATATTTTAGTTTGATTTGACATAATTAGCTTGGACGATAATTACATGTATGGCTTTTATATAGAAGGAGGAAGAGGTCAAACTTACAACTTTACTTTTTGTTTTTCTTGAAATATTTTAGTTTGATTTGACATAATTAGCTCGATGAGGATAATTACATGTATGGCTTTTATATAGAATGGAGGAAGAGGTCAAACTTATAACTTTTTACTTTTTGTTTTTCTTGAAATATTACTATAACATACTGCGCAGATATTTGGAATTGAATGTTGCTTAATGATTGATAATTGTTGTTATCAATCTTATAAAGGTTATTCGGAAATAAGTTAAATGTGTTTGATGAGCAAAACTTTTCAACCTTAGAAAATGGGTATAATTTTGGGGCATTATACAAAAATAGCAACATTTATTGAAGGAAATCATTCTAAATGTTTGCAAGAGGAGGTTATGAATTGCTGAACTGGGATATACTGATTGTCAAACATTTTAGGTGGCAAGATAGGGAGCTTCCCACCACCTATCTTGACATGCCTTTGGGAGCTAAGAGTAAACCCTTGAGCATTTGGAACTTTGTGGTGGAAAAAAGTTAAAATAAGTTAGTATTGGAGAAGTGAATACTTATCCTTGGGTTGTAGAGTCATATTGATCAATAGTGTTCTTGAGGCCAGGCCAACCTATATGATGTCCCCTCTTTTCTATGCCTAGGAAAATCATTAGAAAGCTAGATCCTACGAGAAGAAATTTTCTATGGCAAGGTAATGGAGAAGGGGAAAAGAAATTTCATTTGGTTAAGTGGGGTGCTATTATAACCAAACAAAAACAAGGATGTTTGACAATTAAGAATTTGAAAGCCCACAAGAAGAGCCTTCTATTAAAGTGGGCTTTGGAGACTAGCAACAAATGATGAGGAAGGATATCAAGTGCTTGATCACAATATCTATGCCAATATAATTCATGACACCAATCTTAATTCGAACTCTTCAAATTTTAGAGATATCTGGATATTGAAATTTAGTTCTCCATTTCTTTTCATAAATAGAGAGAGCTTCATCTGTTCAATTGTTTGAGAAGAGTTTCATATGTTGCTTTTATTCCCAAGAAAACAGGGCCTTTGAACTTTAGAGATTTCAGATCTATAAAATTATTGCTAAGCTTCTAAAAGAGAGGTTGAAGAGGGAGGTGGGCAAGTTGCTAAACAAGCATCTATTATTCTTCATTAAAGGGAGACAATTCATGGATATTGCACTTAAAAGCTAATGAAATTTTGGAGTCTAGGCTTAAAGGTGAAGATCTCGGTACTAGGCATTAAGTAGATGTTGAGAAGGCTTATGACCACTTCAACTAGGAGTTCCTTTTCAATATTCTTAAACAAATGGGTTTTTATAGAAACGGGTTGAAGTAGATTGTATTTTGCATCAAGACTGTTAGGTTCTCGAGCCATGAGAATGGAGAATCCTTAGTAAAGAACAATATCCCCAAAATAGCCCTTACGTGACACAAATCCGTTTTAATAGTGTCAAGAAGGTTATAACCACCAACAACCTTACTCCAGTAAACATACCATTGGATAATGATTCCTCTCCTTCCAATGGAACCACAAACAAAAAAGCACTCTCACCTAGTGTTATCAAAGGCGAAAAGCGCGAAAAAGCTCTAAGGTCCTTGGGGGCTTTAAGCACAAAGCACAAATTAAGCGCGGGCTTTAATGAAAAAGGCACAAAGGGAGAAAAAATACAAATATATATGTTTAGTCCAAGACTAATAAATATAAATATGAATAACAAATATATAACCAAAGAAACTGAAAAAAATCATGATAAAGTGAAATATCAATTATTTAGTGTTATATCTTCCTAAGAGGCTTATTGGCAAGGAAATATTTGTCTTAGAACCTTGATGACAACATTGAATCGCACATAAAGCGAGTCGAAGCGCAGAACACATTTTGAGCCTCGCTTAGCGCGCCTTTGATAACAGTGGTCTCACCAACTCGACTAAGAGTTCTGAATCAAAAAAGTAGAATGAACCTTACTTATAATGAAGGGAGCAAGTTGTTAAACAAGCATCTATTATCCTTCATTCAAGGGAGACAAATCACATATACTGCACTAATAGCCAACAAAATTTTGGACTCTAGGCTCAAAGGTGAAGATCGAGGTACTAGGCATAAAGTAGATGTTGAGAAGGCTTATGACCATGTCAACTAGGAGTTCCTTTTCAATATTCTTAATCAAATGGGTTTTGTTGAGAGGTGGTTAAAGAAGATTGTATTTTGCTTCAAGATTGTTAGGTTCTTGAGCCATGAGAATGGAGAATCCTTGGTAAAGAGCCCTTCCCCCAAATGGCCCCTATGTGCTACGAATTCATTTTAATAGTCTCGAGAAGGTATTTGCCCCTGTGACCATACTTTTGTAAAGTACCATTGGATGGTAGCTCCTCTCTTTCCTATGGAACCTGAAACAAATATATTCAATCTCTCCAGCTTGACTAAGAGTTCTGTATCGAAAAAATAAATAAAAATGCACTTAAGACGAAGGGAGCAAGTGTCGAACCCTTCACTGCACCTACTTTCTTAAGGGTTCAAAGTACTAGTCATTAAGACTACTATGAGTGGAAAGTAAGGAAGCCTTTTCTTGACTTAGCAAGGCTCATACAGGGTGATCCTCTTTCACCGTTCCTCTGCATGCTAAACATGGAGGGTTTCAATAGTATGATGAGGGTGGCTAGTGTCTGAAAGGGTTCAAGTTAGGCAACAATTGAGGACAGGGGATGCATATATGCCATCTGCTTTATTCAGATTGTACTGTTAATTCAGTGTTATTAAAGGCGAAAAGCGCAAAAAAGCTCTAAGGTCCGTGGGGGCTTTAAGCATAAATCGCAAATAAAGCGTGAGCTTTAAAGAAAAAGGCGCACAGGGAGAAAAGAGTACAAATATATGACCAAAGAAATTGAAAAAAATCAGGATAAAGTGAAATATCAATTATTTAGTGTTACTTCTTCCTAAGAGGCTTATTGGCAAGGAAATATTTGTCTTAGAACCTTGATGACAACATTGAAGCGCATATAAAGCGAGTCGAAGCGCAGAACACGTTTTGAGCCTCACTTTAGGGTAAGCGCGCCTTTGATAACACTGGCTGTTATTTCTATGAAGCTAAGGCAGAACAACTTAGCTTTATGAGAATGAAAACAAAGGAAGTCCTCTTCTTGACATAGTAAGGTCTCATACAGGGAATTCCTCTTTCACCTTTCCTCTCCATGCTAACCATGGAGGGTTTCAACAATATGATGAGGGTGGCTAGTGGCTAAAGGGTTCAAGTTAGGCAACAATTGAGGACAGGAGATGCATATATTCCATCTGCTTTATGCAGATGATACACTGTTATTTTCTATGAAGTTAATGCAGAGCAAATTAGCTTTATGAGAATGATTTTGGTGATCTTTGAGGCTACTTCTTCTCTGTGTGTAAATTGGAGGAAGAACAGTATATTTCCTATCAAAGCAGTATCACATATGTAGAGTCTGGCTCGCATATTGGGATGTTGAATTGATCAATCCCCAATAGTGTATCTAGGCATGCGTTCAGGCAACCAACAGAAAGAGTTGAAATTTGTGATTGAATAGTAGAGACAACGACAAAGAAGGTACCAATGTGGAAAACTCAATACCTTTCTCTAGGAGGAAGAATTACTTTGATAAATTCAGTGTTGGATCTACTACCAATTTATGTAATGTCATTATTCCCCATTCCCTCCAAGGTGCAGAAGAGGTTGGATAAGTTGAGGAGAATTTTTTTTTGGATGGGAAATAAAAAGGGAAAGGAATACATTTGGCTAACTGGCCGACTACTTAGTTGAGTTGGCATTTTGGTGGTCTTGGTATCAGGAATTTGAAGGTGCAAAACGATTGCTTGCTGATGAAGTGGCTCTGCAGATTTTCCAGGGAGGATCATGCATTGTGGAAGGCGATAATTTATAGCAAATTTGGCGACGAGGCGAGCGCCTTTCACAACACTGGGCAGAATTACCAATAGTGTACTAACACAATATCTAGCATTTATGGTGTTGAAGTGTTGAGAACAGTTGGGATATTTGGTCCAACCTCGCTAGGAGATTACATTATAAAGTGGGGAATGACACCAAGATCCTTCTGTGGAAAGAGAATTGGATTGGACATGAGGCCTTAATGAACTCATATCCTGATCTAATCTCCTTTTAAAACAATCCAGATGCAACAATAGTTGACATATGATCTCCTCAAGGATGGAACATCTCCTTCAGAAGACAGATGAATGATTGGGAAGTGGAGAGAGTGGTTGAGATGCTGCAATAATTGAGTAGATTTAATGGTATCACTTCAGAGCCTGATACAATAAGGTGGAAGCATGACAATGAAGACAGTGTTTCAGTGAATAGCTGTACAGGAAGAAAGCGATAAAGCAATCAAGTTGTAAGACAAGCCCATGGAAAGTGGAAGCAGGTATATAAAAACATGGCTTTAACCAAGGGTGAAGTGATTTAAATTGGTCGGTAGTTAGAAAAGCATATCTTACCCAGGAAAGATTACAAAGGAGAGATTTCCACATAGCATCTAGGTGCATCCTGTGCATGTGGCTGAGGAAACTAACAACCATTTGTTCCTACATTGCAAAGTTACTTCACAGATTAAGGCATTATTTATTAGCCTCACAGAAACTAAGTGGATACTTCTAGAACATACAACAAACAGATCTTAGCTGCTGGATTAGGAGAGTAGGAAGCAAACGTCAAAAGAAGTGGTGGATAATAATTCCACCTAGTATATGGTGGACCAAATGGAGAGAGAAACAATATATGTTTTGAAGATAGTTTCAGTTCCATTCAAAAGATTAAATGGAACTGTATCATAACCTTTCATTTTTGGTGTAACGACATTTAAATGTCTTTCTTAAAAGTCGTTCAGAAACCTAAAATGACAATATTAAATTAGTAGTTCAAAAGTTAATTTTAATGTGGAATCACCTTGACTTAAACTTGAATTATTAAATGGTAGATAAATTATAGGACATCCTAAAACAGAAAGCATGTTACCTAAGTTTGGAGAAAGGAGTATTTCTGAAGAATGTAAAAGCAGAATAATACATCTCTGTAAATGTTGCAGGCGTTTGTTAAAAGATGCATGCCTCCTTTGGTATTTACTCTTGAGATTGAGTGTATATTTTCCTGTATTTTGAGATTTTGCTGAGTCATGATTAACTATATGATACTTTTTATGTTATATTTGATGGTCATTATATCCTCTTCCTGTTGTTTTTAGGGTAGTCAAAATAATGGCTTTGTGATTGGATCACCTTCTATGGCGAAAACAATTTAATTTAAGCCATCAATGAGCAGATCTATCCGCATCACCGACGTGAGTTGTCCTTAATATGTTTGACATTCTCATGTTGGCTCCTCAGAATGCTTAGTTTTAGACTTTATATGCTTTAAATGTTGTTAAAGATTGCAATTCCCTCCTCTGTATTAGTTGCTACAGTTAACAATTGCTCAACGACACTTTTGAATCATGAAAAGCAGTTTGAGTCTCTGGGACCTTACAGTGATGGTAAAGTTTAGGCCCATATATAGATGTCTCCCCTTGAACATTTTTATCATTGGAATCTCATTATTGTATCTTGGAAGTTTTTCCTGGGTCTCATAATCAGACTAATTTTTGTAGTGCCAATTATGAACAACTTTTAAGTGTTCAGTACTAAGCAAGAGACAGTCCTTTTGTGATTCAGTCCTGTATCTGTAATAAATGAACAAGGTCTGAATAATCAAGAATCTTATCTTCTTTTTGACCATAAAATCCAAACTACATAGTTTCTGTCTCACCCGATCATTGGTTACAGAGCGGTTAGAAGTACATCTCCGCTTGCGAGAATGAGAATGCACATTCATTTGATCTTGATTCTTGTGGAATGATTGCAGACCAACTTTATCCACTATTATTTAGAGTCTCAAATGACAATGAAGATTGGAATACTTATTCCAAAGACCTTCTTGGTCAAGATTTTACAAGTCAGCCAACTTTCTACTATTGTAATATCACCAATTTTACAGCTGAAAAGGCTTTGGACTTATTGCCGTTTATGCCTCTTTGACCATGTAGTCTCTATTGTCATTAGTCTTAAGCAAATCTGCAAAACATTAGCCTCTAAGAGAAGTGCAAGCCTTTTCTGTTGCATTTGAACTGCTTTAAGCTTTCAATAGGAAGAAAATTATGTCTATTTGTAGAAGTATTCATATTGCGGTTTTTTTAGTGAAAGTACTTACATTTATCTAGGGAACATGGCTAAAATGAAATTTTGTACCATCATCTTAGTTGCTAGCTAGTTTCTCACCTTTTATCTTAGTTTCATCAGATAACATCTTGCGACACCTAAGCTGGGAAAGAGCCTATGTTCACTATTGATGCTCCATCTTGTTATTTCCCAAAATGAAAAGTAAACATGATGTAGACGTGGTGGAACATTGGAGGTCCTATAAAACCCCATCAATTGTCATCAAGCTGTTTGTTGAACTTTTGGAGATGAAACTGTGTGTTATTTCAGTTTGACTTTGCCAACCATCACTCTCTTTTGGTCTTGAAATCATTGTGATATCTATCTAAACCGTATCTAAACTAAAATACGACATTGTTTGTTTGTTTGTAATTTTCGTTTTTTCACAAGTAAAATGAAATAAAACTCTAAATATCGAGATTAAGTCTAAAAGAAATATTTAATGCTAAAATAGTATAAAACAAAGAGAGGGTCTAAAATCACATGCCTACATCTGCCTTTAGCTGATGGAAACAGGAAGAGTTCAGTCAAAGTAGAGAACAAGACAAGTTTCGACCTTGACTAACTTCCATTCTCTTGTTTTTTAATTTTATTTGAATTGATAGTAGACGTAGAGTTTCAAGGGTGTATTGATGCTTGCTTCTCTGATATTTCTCTTTCCTTTTTCTGCCTTTTTTATTTTTACATCTAACCTCATTAATCATTTTTATCTACCAGTTAAAATTAACCACCCAATCCCAGCAGTTTTCACCTATGGTTCTGTCCCCCATGCCAACCACGTTCCAGCCTCTCTCCTTTCTGATTTTATTTCAAGTACAACATGGAACAACTACAATTGCATTGCGGTCCATGATTCTCCATCTAAATCTCTCAGTCAAACATTATAAAATTAGTTTCTCTAGTACTGAAATCGCAAAAAAATCTTCTACAATATTAAAAGAACTTCTAGTAAATATTGGACCTACTATGGATACATGGGTAGATCCACAATGTGGTATGAGGAACCCAATAGCATTTATCTAGACCTTGTATATGTGTTAGGCATTCTACTACATATTTGTAAAAAGTTTTTGGCCAAAATCTTTCTTTAAGTATACTTTAAATTTAGACATTATCCTTAAAATATCATTTTTAGCAGAAAACATCCTTTTTTTTTTTGATGAAGCAAGTGAGATTTCATCAAGGCCTCCAGTAGATGCAAACATACAAAAGGGGGATCTGTCAGCTCAGCAAGAACAGAAAAAACTTATAGAGCTAAGGAGCTGACAAAATCCAGGTAGTGATCTAAGTTATTTACAGGGAAAAGTTGGCCCAACTAAAAAGGTTGACCAAACAACTAGCCTTAAGCTTACAAATTGGAGTTGAAACTCCATCAAAATATTTCATGTTTCTTTCATTCCAAATAACCCAAAAAAACCAAGCTGGGATCATGATCCAGATTTTCCTGATGGATTTTCTAACTTCCATAGAGCTCCAACTAGTGTAGGCATCTCTGATATTGAAGGGCATGGACCAACTTATACCAAAATGCGCTAGGAACATGTTCCAAAAGTGTGTTGCAATAGGGTAGTGAAGCATAAGGCGGTTGATGTTTTCTGAAGTCGACTGATACATGTAACACCTATAGACCAGTTGAAATTTTCTTCTCATAAGATTGTCTTGAGTGAGGCATGCTTCTTCTTAGGCTGTCCAAGTAAAACACAAGACTTTAGGGGGGTTGTTTAGTCTTCCAGACTAACTTCCAGGGCCATAGATCAAACATCATCTTATTGGAGCTCAAGTGTTCATATCCTGCCTTGACTTTGTATAAACCTTTGTTGTTGGAGTTCCATTTTAACTTATCATTGCCCTGAATGTTAATGTTGTTGTTTTCTAAGCTTTTGAGCAGATCCAATAACTCTTCAAATCCCCAATCTTGCAAATTTCTTTTAGGTTCAGGTTCCAAGAGTTGCCATCCCTATACTGAGCAATACAATAATTAGGATGTCTGGCAATGTTTAATATATTTGGGAAGGTTTCTTTCAAAGTATAGGGTCCTGTCCATTTGTCTAGCCAGAATCTGATATGGTTCCCATTCCCTGCCTCAAATTGAGTTTGTTTGAGAAAAGGCATCCTACAAGGTATTAATGACCTTCCATAATCCAGTTCTGTAGGGAAGTGTGGATTGTTTTGTACACCATTGGGTGTTGCTGCATGGTTAGCCACAATCACCTTTTTAAGTCTTTCAGCCAGGCGTCAGCACCGTAGCTATGAGTTTATAGAAGCAACCTATTAGACTAATGGGTCTGTAGTTGGTTAGCGCGATAACTCCTTTTCTTTTTAGTATAAGGGCAATGAAAATGCACTAAAAAAAATTCACCATATGAAAATTGTAATGGAAGTGATTGAGAGCTCCAAGTACGTTATTCTTAATTGTATCCCAATTCTAATGATAAAAGGCCATGGTAAAGCCATCCGGTTCAGGGGCTTTATCGGGAGCACAAGATGTGACTGCACCTAGCACTTCTTCCTCACCAAACGTTGCTTTCAAACCATCTTTTTCTTCGGTTGTTAGTAGGGGTGTCAAATGGCCGGATTGGGTTGAAATTGGAAATATTACAATGGGTTGAATAGAAATCGGGTTGGGTCTTGACCCGCCCAAGTTTACTTTGGGCTCAAATGGGCTAACAAACGGGTTGGGTCTTGACTCGCCCCATTTGACCCGATTAATTTCAATAATTTAACATATTGATATTTAACTTTTATAATCACAATTTGAATTTTTCGCTCAAGAATTTTTTGTTTTAAAAGTAAGAAAATGGATAGATAAATCCTTAAAGATGTTGCATAGATAATAATTCATACCTTCAATTTATAAGAACATATCTTAAGAAAAAGTTTTAAAACGGGATGAAATTGGAGATTCAATTGGGCTCAATTGAGAATTCTCTTCAAATGGGTTAAAGCTTGAATATGTTGAGATTGAGCCCAATTCAAATTATCTTGAGTCCAACCCTTCAAATTCTGGGGGGGTTGGGTGGGTTACCTATGTTTGGGTTCATTTTTGACACCCCTAGTTGTTAGGCATCCCATCCCCTTCAAAGGAGGTTTTAGGTCTCTAGTTTTCTTCCTCTGTAAAGAGACTGAGAGAAGCTGAGTATTTCCTTCTTTATAAGCTCTTTATCTTTTATTATCTCTTCCTCCACTAGTAATTTGTCTATTCTATTGTATCTTCTGTTGTCACTTGCAACCCTTTGGAGGAATTTAGTATTCCTATCACCCTCTTTAAACCAGAAACATTTGGACTTTTGTCTCCACGAGGCCTCCTCTGCTCTGGCGGATCTCTGAATTTCTAGTTTGAGATTCAAAATCTGATATTTTACCTCTAGAGTCTTCATTCTGCCTTCAGTTGCCTGCTCAAGTATTAGAAGTTCATCCAACGCTTTGCTTGCCCTGACTTCCACTTTGCCATATTCCTCTTTATTCCATTTGCTGATATCCCTTTTCAAGTGTTTCAGTTTTTGAGCTAGTATGTAATCTGGGGAACCATTAACATTATAGCTCTGCCACCATTCTTTGACTTTGTCAATGAAACCATCATGTTGTAGCCACATATTCTCAAATTTAAAGTATGACGGGTTAACATACCAGTCAGCACTCTCCAAGACATTGAGTCTGATCAGAAGTTACTTTTGGGAAGCGCAAGTTCATTAACCGAAGTTGTCACTTCATTCGGTAGAAATCAGGAATCTATCTATTCTGGAGGCTTGAGTGGAATCCTCCTCACCCCTGTACCAAGTGTAATCAGCACCCTGAAGAGGTAAATCAATCAACTCCAAGATCTGAAAAGTTCCTCATTGCTCTTGATCTTCTAATGCAATTAAACCTTTCATGTTCGAATCTACAGATATTAAAGTCTCCTCCACTACCCAGTAATCTGTCCGTTACATTCTAATATCAGCTAATTCATCCCAAAAATATGTTCTTTCCCAATTTGAATGTGGCCCATATACACCAGTAAAGCACCATCTGAGATCTCCTGTAACCCTTCAAACATTGCAGTGATGAACCATGTGCCTCTCAAAAAATCTATGCAATTCCATTGCCTCTTTTCCCAGAATATTATTGATACCCCCTCTCTTTCCATATGATTTTTAATTACATCCAGTCGACCTATCTAGATCCCCAAATCTGTGTTGCTATAACCGTAGGCCATCCTTCAATTTTTGTTTCTTGTAGACATAAAACATCTGGCTTCCACTTCTTGACCAATGATATAATGATCTTTTTTTTTAATTGTCATTAAGCCCCCGCACATTCCAACTTATGATTTCACTTTATTCGGACAGTGCTTTGAGTTTCCTACTCTTCATGATTTTTTCTCCCTCATTATGGACCCCTTTGTCATAGTTACCTGAGGAAATCAAAATTTTCACTTCGCCATCCCCTTTTTTCTTGGAATTTTTTGCATCTTTCTTTTTCTCCCTATGTTGCTGAAGTTGTAATTTTCTCTTCTGCTCCATACGTAAGATCATCTCCAGGATCTCGTGCTCAAACCCATTTGCATTCATCCCAAAGGCCTTCCATGCTTCAGCCATAACAATCTTTGCGCACTGTGTCATCTTGTTTTCAACAGGGTTTTCCAGCAACTGCTGATTTTGAGAGCTTTCTTCATGTCAGAGGAGAGAGAAAATCCCTATTCGAGGAAATGGAGTAATCAGAATCTGAGGCAGTTACTTTGTTTGATTCTGGTAATAAAGAGGGATTTATGGGGCGTGATATGTTCTTAAAGTTCTCTGCTTTATCACCAGCTTCTCTGTCTGTTTCCCTGCTACTCTATTCTCTGCGTTTGATTCAGAATTCAATCTGAGAACTGGTTAGGCTTCAGAGTGTCTTTAATTTGAGGCGTTCTAGCATTATTGACTGGCCCAATAGCTCTCCAAATCTTGTGTTGTTTGGCTGACCCTCTGCTCCCCTCTTCTTTAGGTCTCTGCATATATTAAAGGTCCCTTCTCCTTATTTTCGTCCTGACCCACCGTTTTTAAAAAGTTCGGTTTCTGTTGACCATGTTGTTGTTCACGTGTTGCTCTCTAGGGTTGGGGAAAACAGGTGCAGCTATAGGTATAGCTGCAGGAGTCCTAGAGGTAAAGACATCATGCTTGACTTTACCCGCGACGACATCAGAATCGGACATAATGGAAATGTCAAATTTCCGCTCCTTAACCGCTAAATCCACCTTCCTTTGAAATTCCATGTCGGAGTGAACACAGACGCGAGCCCAAATAAGTTGATTCCTGTTCTTTGTGTCTTCATCAATGTCTACATATCCCCCACACTGATTTCCTATTTTCCTGATATTTTCAGTTGTTCAAGCATGCAAGGGGTTCCCAAACACCTTCACCCATCTCTGACCTGCGTCTCTGTGTGTTGCTTCAGATTCAGCAGTCACTAACCACCAAATTGAGAGTTAGCCTCCTTTCGTTCCAAAATCAATCACCATTTTGACTTGTATAGCTTCCTGCTTGGAGTGTAGCTGAAGAGAAATTTGTTGTGATTTATGGAGTGACTCTACGCCCTGCACTGATTTGCCATCTGTGTTTTTGAATTATCTCTTGATTAGAGCTGATATTAAGAGTCGTTGAATGTGCCAATTAGATACTTCACAAGAGAATTCTCCTTTTCTATTGACTGGGACTCTGAAGATTTCTCAGAGTTATTTGGCCAATTAGTAATTTTTGTTGCTTGAAAATATGATTTTGCCTTTGAATCTGCAAGCTGAAATCGTGGATTTACAGCCTTCTCCAGAAACTTTTTGATCTTCCCTGCATTATCTTCCCACACCATTTGTAGTCATTCTCCGGGATAATCTCTGATGTTTCTTTCTCCCCAAGCAAATTTTCTACTCTCACGTACCAGCCATAGATGCTGAAATTTTGGATTACCCTGTATGAGTCGCATTGGTTCTTTCTCGCCTACCTTCTGCATCAGTTTCCCCTTTCCTGTGAAGCTTCAAGCAGAGCTTCACTTCACACCCAACGCTGATTTGCTTCATCGATTCTAATACTGCCAGTAAGTCTCCTCCCATGTTCAATCAGAGTGAACCATCGATCACAATCTTCACTAATGTTCAATAACTCAAAAGATTTGTCACCTGCAATAAAAACAATTTCTCTCCCATATCTAGAAAAGAGAGAAGTCATCGGAGAAAGTTGATGGCAAACTTTAGGAGAGAGAAGATTGGGTCGATAAGATTTGGCGCACTTCCCACGTTAGAGCACATTTTGAAATGTGGTTCTTCTCATTTGAATCTTCTAGAAGTGGTGTTTGCTGAAGACTTCCTTCTAGTAATGGAGAATGAAACTTCAATGTGAGACGTAATCAGAATTTTGATCACCTCAATATCAGACTGTCCCAAAAAATTATTGATTCAACTACAATTTAACTTTGTAAAAGGTAAAGATAATTAAGCTCTAGGTTTTTTCCATTGACAGATGAGAACACGAGTAGGTCATGTAACCGTGCATCTTCCAAACATTTTTGTTTCAAGAAGTAATGGTATTTGATATTTTTTATATTCTTTTTTTCGGATGCTTTTTATAGCAAGTAATGAAATTATGCAAGAAAACTTTTGTTGATACTCACATAATCTGCACATGTTTTTGTAGGATTTCCTTAATTTTTTTTGACAATATCTAACTCAAAGATGAAAGTTAACTTTCAAAATATTTCGAGGATATTTTTTTTTGCCTAAAAGATATTTTAAGGATGTACTTTAAGTTTATAGTTTAAGGATGTTTATGACCAAAAACTCTATTCGTAAATATGACTATGCATCCAATTATTATTGTATATTAACGTGAGGTCGTTCTAGGAACCCACAAGCATCAACTTTTGTTTTTTCGTACGATTAAACATATTAACCTAACATTTAATAGATGTCCAAACATGATTGAAACCTCAAATGAGCAAGTGAATTCAGTTTTTTTGTTTTATAATTTAACCACTTGGGGTTTGATTAGGTGTGAAGCATTCATGTCTTTGTGATTTAATTATATTTTTGATTTTTTGTTTTATATGTTATGACTTATGAGTATTTTTGCCTATGTAATTTCTTTCAATCTAAGACTATATTACCTCTATTTAGTTATTTAATATTTTTTTATTTTTATACTAAATGTCGTTTTTTTTAAAAAAACGCGCGCTTCGCTTCACGCTTCTGTGAAGCAAGCCCTCGTCACTTTTTTCCGCTTCTCGCTTCCCAAAACACTGTTTGTGCATGAAGAGATACATGTCAAGGATAGAGGACTAATATATAATTTAACCACTCATAAAATTTGGGAGAACAGTGTGAAGGATGACTTCATCATCCTCTTTTTCCAATAGGGTTTTTTTTTACAACTTTTTCATTGAGTTTATATTTAGAACTACATTCTTTTTCCTCAACAAGTACATAATGTAGTTATTTATAGTTTTCTTGGAATTGAGAGGGAGATTATAAAACCTTGGATCTTGAAGTATAATACTCCTTCCGTCCCATTTTATATGAGTTAGTTTGTCTTGACACAGACTTAAGAAAGAAAGAATGACTTTTGAAACTTGTGGTCTAAAATAAATCATAGATGGTTGTGTAGCTATAGATCATTTCAATAATGGTCAAATAGGTATTTTAAATTTAAATTGTTACTTAATATAGAACTATGTCTTTCTTTTTGAGAATGACTAAAAAGGAAAGTAGTCTTATAAATTGGGGCAGAGATAGTACTCAAATTTCTTCCCATTATAGGTGAGTATGAGAACAATTAAAGCACACATGAAGTTCGAAGGGGGGGGGGGGATTGTTGGATGGCACAAGAATTGATTCATCCTTCTTTCTCTAGTGGGTGTCTATGTTCTTACTGAGTTTATATTTAGAATACTATACAATCTTTTGCCTCAACAAGTTGTAGGCAATGGAGTTCTTGTCTATTTAGAGAAAGTGGGATTACAAAGAGATTATAAAACCTTGATTAATCTTGAAGTACTACTTAAGTATACTACTCAATTTCCTTCTCATTATTGGTGATCACTTACATATAGCTGGAAGATGAGCACAAAGAAAGGATAGAAGTTGGGGAAAAAAAACTGAAATGTCATATAACATGAAAGGTTTGAGTGCAGAATTAACAACAGATTGGCCTATCAGTGAAGTTACCACAAAATCACAATTACTTCTCTTGTTGACAACAGAGATAGAAATCTGAAGGTTAATATCAAATGTAATTTCAGATTAGCATAAATATTCAAATCAACTGCTTATTTGTCAATTGAGTGTTACCTTTCCTATTGGATTAACTAGGTTTACAGCTTTCATTATATAAAATGTTTTGATAAATGAATAAGCTTAATGTATAAGTAAAGTGTATTGGTCAAGTGATCATTAATGCTAAACTCTTGGCACCAAATATTGTTTCATGGTAAATGACGAGGTCATTATAAGGTTCAAACAATATGTATATCAACCTCATTCACTGTCAGGGAGTAGTGCGACTATCAAAAATGCATAGTAATGATTCAAAAAATGACTTATTCAATTGACAATATTCATGATAGTTGTAAAAACCATAGTGCCACTGCAACCATCTTGATTATCACAATGCAGTTAGGATAAGAGAATTAATAATTTCGAATGATATCTAATCATTTTGACCTCGACAACAATTTACCATATGAGGATCCACGTTGATCTATCGTAGAAACTTGTAATTCATTCTGTCATATATATTTATTTATTCAAAGCTTTCTTTTTTTTATGACAAGGGAAATCCGTAGCCGCTACCCTTTGGTGCGCACATGGTAAAACATCCGCTCCTATGCAATAGCTCGTAAACCACGTAGGAGAGGTAACTCGCACTAGGCAAGCCTGGTGCAACGAGCTCGACCCAGAAGGCAAACCTCATGGTTTCGCTGGTAAGGGGCTTCGAACTTGAGACCTCCAACATGGAGGTCCCAAGCTCAAACCACTAAGCCACCCCGAAGAGTATTCAAAGCTTTGTTTTAATTGTATTGATATTATTCTTATATCAAATAGTATATTACATGATTTGACATTCACGTGCAACACACATGTCAAGAAACTAGTATACATTAAATGCATGATTTGACAAATAAATGAACTTTATGCCAATCTTCCCATTTAAAATATAGAGAAACTAAGATCTAACATACCATCTTCCTCATCATTATCTCGTATGTATTGTCTTTTTATCTATAAAAATTGTGATTACAAAATACTATAAGAATGAATCAATTAATTAAAATTTCAAAATCAACTTTCCAAAGAAACCAACCTCCTCCTTTTCTTAGCTCATGAATCCTCTGCTAGTGTTACTGATGGAGATAGTAGTCTTCATATATTATCCCGTGAAAGTTGAAGTAAGTTGAATTTGGTGATTATTCAATTCTGACATCTACATAAGACTTCTCTGTCTTCTACTTCCTTTTAGTTCCCACAAAATTTTCTTTAAGGGAAAAGAAAGGAGAGGAATATAGAAAGGAAAATGAATGGAAAGGCTAGATTTTTTAAGAAAAACAACTTTGAGGGAAATGAAAACTGTTTGTTGCCTTGATATAGTGTCTCTTAATGTTCTTTGGAATTCCTTTTAACCTATATTTAATTTTAACAAAGAGGTTACTGATTGAAAAGTCTTAGAATTTGAAAAACCAAGTTAAGAAAATGAAAAGATAAATGATAGGAATTGTGGAAGTTAGTGTTACACATGATGTATTAATATTTAAAGCAATTAATTTTATGTAATATTTTATGCTCCATATACATTGATATAAGAATGTTAAAATTTAATTGGAAAAAGTTAATATACGGGAAGATGAAAGATAGAAATAATTAATAATAACTGAAGGTAATTTATAATGATATAACTAAAGAGCATGAGAGAATGTGAATAATATTTGCAATAATCTGTAGTAAATAAGAGAACTTATAATGCCATGATTAAATAATTAAAGCACAATAGTGGGGTTTCGGATTAATTCATCTTTTGCATAAATAAAATAGGACTTCTAATTAATTCAATAGTTAATTAGAAACAATGTCTCTGCCTTCACGAGGTAGCGTTAAGGTATACATACATTCTACTGGACCTCACTTATGGGATTTCACTGGCTATGTATTTGTTGTTGTTGTATTTAGATAGTTAATTAGATTTTGATTTAGTGTAGGGGGTAAAATGGTAATCCAACGGTGCACTTTGTAATTTTCCACTTTTAATATATATATATAGTATATATATATGATTGTTGCATTAATTTTAGCTTTCTTGTTTGTAGAAAAAGACGGACTTGGAATTATTTTTCATTTCGAAGGCATAACATGATCTTGTAGAACTTACCAACAAGGTCCTGTCAATTACTATTACTTCGAAGAAATTTATCATAGAAACAAACTAATAGAATTCTCAGATCTACTTGCCACCCCTTTCCGTTCTTTTTAGTTCTCTCCCTATTTCTATCTTAGCCCCGGAGTGACCTTGACCCTGACATTGCTCCTTTAACTATGGCGTGTACTCGGTGCATGCTTTTGATTTAACACTTTCTGCTTCTGGTGAACTTCATTTTGCTGTTATAATAGTAGAATAGGTAGCTGCCTTGTTGATTTGTTCCAATTCAGATTGGCAGTGGAGGTATTGCTGCCAAAATATCTATTGGGTGCTACGTAGAATATTCTAATTACGTACTATTTAAAATCTGAACATAGATTATTTCCGAGTTCATTTATTTTGTTTCATTTCCAGGATGACGGTGCTGCAAGTAGTCCCCAGCATGTCTAAACTTGGTTGTTTTACAATGAGCATTTTGGGAACGTCGATTCTCCATTTTTTATTTGGAGATGTAGTTTTTAAACTCAATTCAGCAGGTTTGTGTATGGTAGTGAGCTCTGTACAGTAACCGAATGGTAGTATTCTTTTGCAAGATAATACAAATGATAAACCTTGTGTTTACTCTTGTAAAGATATTCTGGCAATGAAATTTTAATCTTACGAGTAAATCTTGTTGAAGATGTCCAATATGTTGTGAAGTCTATCGCATTGGTAGTTGTTTCTATTTCTCCCTTGTATCTTCTTCATATTAGCATTAGGCTTGATTGGTGTAAACTCAATGTCATTGGTAATGATGTCTGGGAATTCTTTCATTAACATTAGACTTGGCAAGAGCAAGAGCAGTCAGCATCTTTCATCTATTGTTTGGCAGATATATTCAGTTCCTAATTTACTTGTATATCCACTTACAAATTGAACAGAAAAAGATGACCTCTTGGCCCTCCCTTTTTTTATGTGTAAGAATAAAAATCTCTCAAATGATATGAAATTAAAAAAAAAAGTATGTTAAAGGCTATAGACTAAATCTTTCACTAAATGGAAAAAGATATGACTTGAAAATCGTTTCCACATTATATATATGTCAAATCTAACATTTTGAATACCCTTCCAAATAATAAAGCAGTAGTTTAGTGGAAGGGTGTGTGCAAAGCGTACACAGCTCTTAGGTTTGATTCCTCTCGTCCTCATTTTGTTTTCAATTTTGTAAAACTATAAAAAAGATATTTGACATGGAGAGAGCAGAAGCTCAGGGTCGTGACTTACCCTGTCCTCATTTCTCTGATTTGCCTATTTTTGCTTTAAACTAAACTCTATTTCACTTATTTTGAAAACTAGTATAAAATGACTTTTTTTTATGTTCATTCCTTTTATAATTAGGTCTAATAAAGGTCCTTTTTTGGTCAAATTTAAAGAGATTGATTTCTTTATTTACTTAAATTTTAATACCCTTTTCCTTGTGGATTCGGGTTTTCCCCTTTTATTCCTTTACCCATATTATATGACCATATTGTTGAATGTTGAGCATAAAAATCTCAATAATTCGCTGCACTTTCCTTTTTTTCTCTTATTTAGGATAAAACGAATATAGTTTTGTAAATATTTTAGCTTGAAGTTCCATGAACTTGAAGAATTATGTTAGTAGTGTATCAAAAATATGTTTGATGTCTCTAAGTCAACCTAATTAATATAAAAGAATGGGAAAATTTTTCAAAACAAAAATATTTAAACATTTAATGGGGCTCATAGCAAAACTAATATTTAATGGGGCCTTGTAGCAAAACTTTTAATATTTTTTTTTCACTACACTTAATGCTCTTTTCATCTTTTATTTTTGAGATTAAAATTTACAAAGTTTCTTTCCTATTATACGTGTTTGATTCCACAATTGACATTACTTCTCTCTCCCTTAAACCTCAATTTTTCAATATTAACTTTTAACTCTCCATTGAAAATGTTCAATTTATGTCGAATTACAGTCTATTGATTTAAGATTTTTGTTGGCAGTGAATTTTTTTTAGAATGAATACAATATTAAAAAAATAAAAAATTTGTTGGCATACAATGTGACATAAATACAAAATGATCGCAAAAATTCTATAACTTGTCAGCATACATTTAGAATTAATACAAAATACAAAAGAAATACACAACTTGTTGACATACAAATTAAGATTGAAATACAAAGTGAGCACAAAAAATTTATAACTTGTTGGCATATATTTAGAATTAATACAAAAATAAAAAAAATACAATACTTATTGGCAGACATAATAAGATTAAAATACGAAATGAGCACAAAAATACGAAACTTGTTGGCATAGAGTTAAAATATAAACAAAAATATAATAAAATTGTATGAAGACTAATTTAGAATAACATACAAAATTCCGTAAAATTATTTATCTAATAAAAAATGAAACATATACATAATTTGAAATGAATCCTCCTACAAAATAAATACAAGTTACACCTAAAAAAAATTCAAATTTTAGCAAGATACACATGAATTTTATAATGAATACAAACTGCAAGAAATAATAAAAACGGTAAGAATACAATTTGATAGTTTAGATACAAAATACAAGATGCCATAAAGTTATTTTTCATCACTCTCATCTTCAACAATTTTATCAATTTTTCAAATGTTGACATTGGAAAATGAGACTTCTCCACCTGACGCATCTTCCAAATCTAATTCAATACTTTTGAGCGATTTATCATGATATTGACACTTAAAAAATGACACTTCTTCACCTGATTCTTCTTCCAGATCCAAACCCAACATATAAAATGCTTTTGTATCTCGATACTCGACAAAGGTTTAAAATCTTTTGAATGATTTCTAAGATTTCTTAGAAAAATGGAGTATTTTGATTTAAGAAAAAGACAAGGTTTAAAGTTACTTGAGGATATGGAATAATGAAAGAAATCTTTAGAGAAAAAAAGAGAAATGATAAAATTTGGGTAAAAATATTTAGTGAGTGAAAAGTAGGTAATGGGGTCTATTATTTTTAGTCAAAAAGTGGGCTTAATTTAAGAAATAAAAAGAAAGTAAATTAATTATATAAGGATACACTTTATTTGTTAAAATATGGTTATTCCGATATTTTAAATAAATATTTTTAAAATGTTGTTATGTTGACTAAATATGTTATGTATTATGACTTAATTGCTAATTTTCCCTAAAAGGATTACGAGGTCAATAAGAGATACTATCACATTCTTATAAGAAACAAAAACTTGATTTAAATGCTATCGAACTTGATCAAGCCCAAAAACTCTAATTTTAAAATCATGATCCAAAAGTCGTGCTAAAATAAGAGGGGGATATGTGAAATTTGGTCCTTGTCGATCTAAGGTTCATGAATTTCCTCAATCTATATTTTTGAAACAATGCGTCGTTTCAATTTTAAATGGTTTGAAAAATATGATTATTAGGAGTATAATGAGAATGTAGAGGTGGTACAATGCTAGTTTGTTATTTATTTGAAGGCAATAATATTCATCAAGGTGGATGTGAAGTATTTTGAAGAAATACATTTAGGAATTAACATATAAAAGATAAGCTTGACAAACATATTGGAGGGTAGAATAATATTCATAATCAAGAAAAAAGAAATTGTGATGATCATATACAACAACTATCCATTTGTGCTGCATTTGACAAACAACCTGATCGAATTAAGCATGAATATTTGACACACTTAAATGCTTCAATTGATGTGGTAAGACTTCTTGAATCAAGGGTTGTTATTTTACGATCATGATGAAGGTGAATCATCATTGAATGAAGGTAATTTTATTGACTTTTATTCATGGTAAAAAGATAGGTGTAAAAACGTTAAATCTTTTGTGGTGGAAAATACATTAAGAAATAATAAAAAACTTCTCCAGATATCTTGAGAAATAATTATCACTTATGATATAGAAACATTAAAGGTTAAATGAAACACCAAGGAATTGGAGAGAGGGCTAGAAAGCACAAACAGACAAGTCCACTAACCAAAAATGGACAATGGACCCTTCACAAAACCCTAGTGTAATACTCTGAAAGTCCAAAACCTAATATAAAGCCTCACAAGAGTATCCAAGAATTGAAACACAGTTATAAGACCTAAAATAATGTTTATAATCCATTTAGTAAGTTTTAGAGTCAAGACGTCAAGAAACGTCCATGACGTCTAAAGATTTGTGAAAGAGGTGCTAGTGTGCCTTAGCCTATTTCATGGGGTTTTAGGAGTTGGAAATTGATTAAAACCGGTGGAAAGGTGTCAGAGTTGGAAATCGATTAAAACTGGTGGAAAGGTGTCAAACTAATGTTAGATGTGTTTAGGGTCGAAACATCTGTGTACGAATCCCCAAGGACCACACCAAGGGTCCTTGGAGAGGACCCTCGCATTTAACCCAAATCTGCAAAATTAGGCAGTACTGGCAGTGGTTACATATGAAGCCAATCGATGGGGGCGTCGATGGATCCTTAGTCTCACACTTATCTATTTTCTAGAAATGGCCAAAATTCATACTCTCTGAATTTAACGATGGACCTGGAGGACAATAGGTGTCACAATCCGAAAGTACCCCCTAGTTGTTAGGGAGACCCCTTGGGTCATGGCCAGGTATACTTGACCCTTTGGGGTCTTCTACAAGCCTTGAGCTATCGTTCATTACATATGACATGAAAAGTAGTGCAGAATTAAAGCTTTTAGAGACATTTAATATAAAAAGGAATCTATTATAACTACTAAGAAAATCTCATCGTCACAAGCCAAACTTAAAGACACGACATAAATAATTTAGGGACACAACTCTTTACATTTAAAAGAAATACATAAGAAGTATTAACATAAGAAAACTAAGAAGATAGGAATTATGCCCTCGAATATATGAGGACACACTTTGTCTTGAGAGGAACTTTCCCAAGCTTCGCCTCTAAATTTCAACCTTGCTTCCAAAACCCATACTTATAAAGTATAGAAAAGTCTGGCTTTAGTACAAAACAATGTACTAATACATATGCATAAAAAATAAATATGAAAAGGGACATTTTAATAAAAACCCATTTTCATATCAATTAAGTAAAACATTCATGAATATAGAAGTAAATCAACATAAGAATCATCATTTAACACTTAGAGAAGAATTTCCATAATTTTAACCAAAGAGGACCATATTACAGTAAACTTTCAAAATGTTACAGTGAAATCATTTTTGACATTACAGTGAACTTCAAAGGACAAGCAAAGAGGAAGTGAACTCATTTCCATAGCAGTTGCCCTAACTAAGGATTATCCTAAGACTCACCAAGGTAAGACATGAAGGAAGTATGCATATGCCTCCTTCAATAGTCACCAAAGCGATCCTCAAGACTACCCCTTTTCGGCTTACTAACCTCGAGAGAACAAGCTCCCACTCAATGAAAAGACATTAGAAGAACACCCAAACAACCCACCAAGACTTCCCTTTCGGAATGCCTACTTAGTGCAATGAGTAGATGGTGTCCCATACCACCACCTACCCTAACTATTACACTCTTTTAGGCTTGGCACCAAGACTCCCCTTTCGGAAGGTGTACTTAGTGCAATGGATAGATAGCATCCCATAGCACTACCTACCCTAAGTAGTACGTTCTTTAGGAGACTTAGTTCATTCAATTCACATAATTCTCACCAAAACTCCTCCTTTCGGAA